TCCCCTCCACTTCCCTTCCCTCGTTCTTCCTTTTTTTTTTCCGAGCTTTTGTGTGCCACCAGGCATTGTGATAAGTGTTGGAGTTAAAATGGTGAGCAAAACCAGACATGACTCCTTAAGCTTATTGCATAGTAGGTGAGGCAGACATTAAGTAGAAAATAATACAAATAAGTGCAAAATTATAGCTGTGAGAAGAAGAGGCATATGATGCTATGGGACCAGGGAGTTGACCTTGCTCAGATCAATATGAGCTCTAAAGGAAGGAGAGAGGTTAACTGGGCAAAAGAGTCAGGGGCAGGATACGGATGGAAAAACAGCATATGCAGAGGCTCTGTGGCAGGAGACTGGAGATAGAGTTTGGGAAAAAAGGGGTGATCAGCGGTGGTGGTTACATGTCCAATTTTTTTGTTCCTTAGTTTTAATCATAGTCATTGTTAAAAATCAATTTTACTTAGGTTTGTTGAAAAAGGAAGTAGCACTTTTTTGACATTTTATTTTGAAAAATATTAAAACTTCTAGAAAAGTTACAAGAATAGTACACTGAACTCATGTGTGCTCTTCACTTAGATTCACCAATTATTAACATTTTGCCACATATGCAATCATTCTTTTTATGTTTTGTATGTATATTTTGAATGAATATTTGATATTTTATATGTATGTAAATATATAAAATAGGCACATGAATATATTGTACACACATAAACACACACACACACACACATATATACGCATACATGCATACATACATGTTGTTATTACTCTGTATGAACCATTGAGTCTTTATCCCTAAACACTCTTGGTGTACATTCTGTGGGTTTTGACAAATGTATAACGACATGTAACCGCTATTATAGTATCGCACAGAATAGTTTTACTGTGCTAAAAATCCTCTGTGTTCTACATATTCATCCTCCCTCTCTCTAACTCTTGGCAATGACTGATATTTTTACTGTCACTGTAGTTTTGCCTTTTTCAGAATGTCATGTGGTTGGAATCATATAGAATGTAGCCTTTTCAGATTAGCTTCTTCCACTTATATGTATTTAAGGTCCTCCATATCTTTTTATGGTTTGATAGCTCATTTCTGTTTAGCAGTGACTAATATTCCATTGTATGTATTTATCACTTTATTCATTCACCCTGTTTTACTTTTCTTTCAACCAATATTCAATAAGATATTCAATATTCAATAGTTTTTTAGTTTGATAATTATTGGATTTTCTGCCATCATCCTAATTATTTCCAAAAGCTCTTTTTTTGTTATCTCTATTTTAAAATATACTGTTCTTACTTCAAGGGTATTATATTTTCTCCTTTGAGATTATTTTGTTGAGGTTTTCTTCTTGCATAATCTGTTTCCTGTAAGTTCCTTGTTTTTGTTAGTTTTCTTTGGGAAGGATTTCCTTTCTTCTTATTAGAGACTTTCTTACATGATGATCCGTGGCCATCTACTTACATTTAAGTGGAGCACTAGCATGCTATTGGCTGCTCTGTATGCAGGGTTACCACTCTCCATTCTGATTTGCCTGGCCTTTGGTTGGGGGAGCGGGGAACTTCAATGCCAATATCTTTGGGAAATCTCTTGGAACTGTTTCCTCAGAAAAGAGTCTTCTTTCTTCCTGCGTGAATGGTGTAAAGTTGAGCTGCCGATGTGTTGGGAGCCTGAAAGGGGTGTCAGAATTTAAAATATAAACTATCATGTGATTCTTATGGTTTTCATTTGTGTACTCTTCTCAACTGCACTCTTTAGTCCAGAGACTGTGTTTTACCCTCTCCAGGGAATAAACGTCCAGTTTTCTGCCAAAGCAGATGACTGCTGTTCTCTGTCTCAGCCAAAATTAGGTATTAGGCAAAAATCTAAGTGAAGGTTACCCAGAGAGGTAAGTGCAATACTGAGGCTACTTCAGAAATCTCTTCACAGGCAAGTGTTTCTGAACACTGAAATCTGCTGGGCAGATTTTTTTTTCTAGTGGACATGTTAAGAGAGTTGTCCTTAAGGGGCTTTGGCTTTATATGGCAGGGCGGGCAGGGAGGGTCTCTGATCCAGCTTCCTACCTTTCTTGAGCTCAGTCAGCTTTGTCTCTTAAACTTTGTGCTCGGGTTCAGAAAAATCAGATTTTCTTGAGTACCAGGGAGTAGTATACACCAGCAAAACACAGGCCCACCATTTGCTTACCTCTCTCTGGCACTTTCTTACTGTTTTTGACCTTTTGTAATTTCCTGTTTTTTATGGACAATTCTAGTCATGCTTTTCCTATTTTCTTTTCCTGCAGTTTTAGGTATTTTATACCAGGAAGGGCGTCTCTGTATATCCAGACACACATGTTAATGTGTCTATTATAGAATTACAGCAGATGGTATATGTTCTTTATACATTCTTTCTGCATCTTGTCTTTATCATCCAACATTATTTTCAAGAGCACTTCAGGTACTGATAGACAGAAAAAAATTGATCTATTTCATTCATTTCAACAGTCATCTTTTGTATGATTGATACATTTTATTCATTTTTGGATTTTGGATTCAATTTTAGGTATTGCAAACATTTCTGCACTGAAATGAGATGTCTGTGCACTGATCCAGAGGTTCTCTAGGCCCCATACCCAGCAGGTCATATGACAGATACATCTATAATTTGACTTGATGCTATCATACTTCTCTTCAACTGGCTATTGGAATTTACATTTGTGTCAACAGGATAGGAGAATACCATTTTCTTATCTCTGTCCATTTTATACGTTGTCAAACTTCATTAGAAAAAAAACTGGTACTTCATTTAAATTTTTCTGGTAACCAGAGCATTTAAGCATCTTTAAAAATGCTTATTTTACCATTTAGGTGTCCTCTTCTTAAACTGTCTATATATCCTTTGCTTATTTTGCTGTTGAGTTGCTCGTGTCTTGTTCTTTCTTACTCTTTGAAAGAGTTCTCTTTGTATTTTAGATACTCTCTTTGTTTTATGTACACTTTATTGATACCTTCCATTGTGCCCCATTTTACCCACTTTCACTAGATATGCTTTCCTTATGTTATTTTAGCAGTATTTATATGCCAGACCCCTCTACTGAGTCTTGCTTTGGTATGATCAAATACTCACTGGACATTTTACCTTGATGTCCTATTGATGTCTCTGCATCACTTTTTAAAAATAGACCACATCATTTGCTCCCTCAATTTACCTTCCTATTCAGATTCTTATTCTCAGTGGTATCTATCATTGTTCACTTCATCACTGAAGCTAGATCTTATTTAAGGGTCACATTAGAGTGTTTTTCCTTTGCTCCCCATTACAATCCATATCTAAGTCTTGCCAGTATTACTGCTGGAGCATTTTTAAATATCTGTCCTTATTTAATAATCTGAAGAAATGGCATTAAGATAGGTAATGGATTCTGGAGATATTGTATAAATGGAAAGGGCTGGCTGAAGTTTAAACCTTGGTGACCGTATACTAGGAAATAAGGAGAGAGAGAAATTGAGGCAATTATTAAGAATCGTTTAGTGATTGAGTGCAATTATTCTGGAATCAAACAGAGCATGTTTAAATCACCTCCTATTATTTATTTACTTGTTTATGAATAATTAAAGAATAAATTAATCAACAAGCTAAGTGAAATATAGCCTGAAAAAACTTTAGTTATCTTTGTAAAAATTTTGACATATCGAAATATTCAATCCAAGTCAGTTTTTCTTCAAGGCTTGCGTATGTAGCATTCACTTAGGATCTCTTTTTACTTGTTAATTTTCTATTTGCTAATTCACTATATTCACTGTGAAAGTTCAGACTCTGGGAAGGAAAAAAGGGGTGGTGAATTGCAACTGAGTTTTTCACAGTTTGTGTAGGTGTGTGCACATGTGCAGTGGAGATGGACTGCAGTTCAGTTTTAATTTAACTCTCCATGTACAGAGTTAGCTTAGGCATTTCCAACTGTGCCCAGACTGCCAAATCACTCAGCAGTATGAAACAACATACACATATGCCTGCAGGTGCATTCATAAGTAGCATATAGTAATAAAACAGTGGAGTTGGTTGTATATATCCTTCACCTACGTTTTTCATCCCATGTTAGCAGTCTATTTAGGTTTTTAATTCCCTGAAGTTTGAGAACATGAGCCCCTAAAGTATAGTCCTTATAAATGAATTTGACTACAGTAAAACTTTTGAATACTTAGAATTGTTAGTCTGTCTATTGGCATATTTGTTTTCTTAACTACTTTAGTGGGGAAAAAGAAAACATTAAAATAATCTTTGAGTTATAGGTTTTTTGCGTGTTTTCAGAGGAGCAAGATATTTTTGCTTAAATCATATGACACCTCTTTGGCAGTTTTATATGGTTGAAGATTTAATCTATATAGATTTCATTGACCTTATTATATGGTAAGTATATATGACTTTATTAGGTTGCAAATAATATATTAGCTTTTTCTTTTTTTGGAATTGGCTTCATAGTTAGACTCTAGCAATTATGTTATACTTTTCACCTAAAAAGCCTTAAGAACTTTACAGAGAAAGATATTAATTTTATAACTTAATGGAAAGCAATCACACCACCTGTGGTTGACTGTCAGATTTGAAAATGACCTAACAATGACATAACAAGAAACAATTTTAAAAATTAGATTACATTTAAAACAAAAAGTTGAAATTAATTTGAATAAAATAGTTTATTTAATAAAAAAAATTTATTACATTTATCAGACCTCCCCCAGCAAAGAAAACTAAAATTATTTTACTTTTAATAGGAAGAGAAAGGAAACTGATATTTTTGATTATCAACCATTTATCAGGTATTATTTAATCTGTACAATCTCATTTTATAACCAGGGAAACTGACTCTGGGGCATTTCAGTATCTTACCCAAGTTCACACAGCCAATTAATGCTCTCATGTAGACTACCCTTTCCCTTTTGTTAAAATTCTAGTTAAAAATGTAAAGTTTATTTAAAATTTTGAATAATTATAAATAATTTTGATAAAATATGTGAAGTAAAAGTGCTCTAAAAAGTGTAACTGTTGCTTTTTCTCATTTTATTCTCGTGAAATACAATCCTTGCTATGTCCATCAAAGAATTAAAGCATTGAACATTTTGAACTTCCTTCAAAAAATTAGCCAGCTGGCATGTTTTCCTAGGAAAACATTTTCTGATTTGACCACAGACTCTCTCTCAATCAGTTGTTACTGGTTTGAATAATAGAATATGCTGTCATGGTGGGCACCTGATCATGAAAACTGATATCTAGAGTGCATTTTTATTTGGATTTAAAATGTTTTTACAATCCCAGTATAAACACTGTTAACTAGTCAGAACCTTTTCTCACAAGATCAAGGACTTGCATAGTTTTATTTTAACTAGTTATAGTCAACAGGATGAGAATAGATTGTACATTTACTTAATTAAGCAAAATCTTAATTTATTTTTAACATGAAGGATGTTATACCAAACTAGTTTTAGGAATTTTTGAGATAATACAATTTAGTTTTGAAACTCTTAAGTAGCTCAATTTATTTGACTTAAATGCCACTTGGAGATTTTATAGTATGTAACCTTTATGAGATTGGGAAGTAAAGTATGTAGTTTATGACTCAGAACTGAGAAATTACAAATCTGTCTTGATTTTAGAATATGGATCCAAGTTTTGAGAGTTACTGATTTTTTGGTTGTTTATTAAACTAATTTTATGAAATACTAATTTTTACCAATGTGATGTAACAGGTCCCTACTCTATGGACAATATGGACAATTTTCTTAGTTGCCTTTATATGGATGAGTAAAGAGTTAATTATTTTAAGGCAGTTTGTATACTTTGTCTTAAATTTGGATAGTAACTAGATATCTGGCTGATCTTTATAAAAGATATAAAAATATATTTTGAAAGAGTCAGATATGTAGACATAGTACTATATTATTTGATTCTGTTTGATTTCTGTTATTTTTTATTGGCTAAATATGATATTACAATTTAGTTCCAGTGAATTATAGTTCTATTGCAATACCCACCCATATTTAAATGCAATTATTGGAAAGATCTAGGTGTTAGCAGAAAATGCTAACATATTAACAGAGCTTAACTGTGGAAGAGAGTGACATTGATACATTTCACAAAACCACACAGGGATACTTAAAAATATTTGTTACTCATATGCAACATTGGAAAGGGGTAGTTAGAATTTTTTATGGAATTATGGTTGGCCATTTCTGGAGGGCACCATTATTAATGTTTGGGATATAAAGTGGGAGCAGAATACAATCAATTAAAAAATAAACACCTTCAGAATGTTCACTGAAATAATTTATCATGTTGATATTAAAGAGACAAAAAGAACAATTTTGCTTGATTAGTAACACCTGACAACATATAGTAAGAAACCTGACTATGGCTTTTTAGCAATTGTTTGCTACAGTATAGTGTGTCCCTGAGCAGAGAAGAATCAAAATTCTTCTCTGATTCAAGGTTTTAGCAGAGATATTTTGCTTTCCCTGGAAGAATAATGAAATAAAACAATTTTAAAAAATTTAATTTTATAATCATGTTTTAAGACTAATCCTTAGGATATGTGGTATGTGGGAATCCATTATGGCATTGACAGTTTTAAATAAGAGATTAAAAATACATCAGCTGAAAGAACTAAAAGGAACTAAATATTAATAGAATCAAATGTTTCTCTAATCAGTAGTACTTAAGTTCAGCTCAGTGCCTACCCATTTCCTCTACTTTGAGTAGCAGAAATTTAGTGAAGCTCAGGTAACAGACAATGACTATATGCCAATTTTGTCATGGACAAACTTGTCATAGTTGTTCATATTTTATAAAATCATCAAAATCTTTTATATCTGGTTTTAAAATTATTTCACAACTCAACTTGGATGTTCTTTACAAGTCCTCAAGAATTCATTGTATACTTTTCTATAACAAGATTCAGTTTGTACTTCCCATCTCAATTATAAGTTAATTAATATTCCGGCACCCAACTTTATCGCTTTATTTTTGGCATTGTCTCTTTCAGCATGGTGGAGAATTTACAGCTTCTCTGAGTGATGTCTTATTGACCTGGAAATACTTACTACATGAGAAATTGAACCTACCAGTTGAAAATATGGGAACGATTGACCATTATGAGGACATTAGGAGGACTTACGATGGTTTTTTAAAGAATAGTAATATGTTAGATCTTATCGATGTTTATAAGAAATGTAGTGTTTTGACTTCTAATTGTGAAAATAATGCCAACGTATCTCCTGTAAGTATTTTTTTAAACAATTCTATCTTAAATTAAAATTTGGCAAGATTTGTTTTTATTTTAAACTATGATATCAAGCTTTTATATTAACTTGATAGTACTTTTATTTTTCAGATCATGTTAAGAATGGAAAATTTAGCTACCTGAAAGCTAGTCATTACTTGAAAGAAATATTTTAGTGGTAGATTTTGTTGAACTTGTGTTATTATTGTTCGGTCAAAATATAAGACCAGCTTCTTATTAGATTAAAAAAAATGTTGTTTTTTTTTTTTTGAACAAAGAAATTAGTCCCAAATGCATGATTTCTTGTTGAATTAAGTCAAAGATAGCTTTTCTGTTTTGCTCTCTTTGTTTAATGTGCATCTCTTCATCTGGAATATGTTGTATAAATGATTGCTATGACTCTTTCTGTGGATTAATAATAATATTTTACTGAGATGGGAGTATCATTTTGTGAGGCTAGCATGATACAGTATGCATGAGATAATATACACCTTTTTTTGCACATATATATTCATTCTTTTTTATGGTGTATAAATTTTAAAATTAATGGAGTAAGTAGCAACCCTTGCTGTTTGGTTTTGTCTATATCAGAATTAAACTGTTTCAGAATATATTTGGTTATATGTAGTTTGTTTTATAGTGTTAAAAATATTTTTCTTTATCTTAACATTTACTGAGTGTCAATAAAGTAGTAACTAAATAATGGTAATAACTAAATAATTATAGCTATAATTAGAAGAAAACTTACTGTATTTTCTAAGATATTAAATATTTTATAAATATTTCTATCTGATACATGGGAATATGATTTGGCTGCTTATAATAGAAATCTCCACGATGACAGTGGTTTAAAAAAGTGGAAGTTTGTTTCACTTTTTTATAAAAAGATGTCTAAAGGTTAAGTATCCAAGATTGAAGTGATATCTCCATGGTTATCAGTTACCTAAGACTTTTCTGTCATTTCGTTCTCCTATCTTACTTCTTGACCTCTACTTTCAAGATTATTTGTAGTCCAAGATAGCTGTTACAGCTCCAGACATCATAACAGCTTTCCATGCAACAGGAAATAGTAAGAGAGCACAGCACTCTGCTTTTGAAGAAACATAGCTCTTTTTCTTCCATCTCATTGCCCAAAGCTTAGTCACATTGCCACATGAGGAAGCTAGGAAGGATGGAGAATATAGTGTTTATTCTGGGTAGTAACATGCCAGAATAATAAGAAAAACTCTGTTAGTTAGGAAGTAGGGGAGAATGGATATCGGTGGGCAGTTTGCTATCTTTGCCTCATTGAGCTATGATGGAAACCTTTGTCCTGTTGTAAGTTTCTCAAAACACGCATGCATCATTTACATACAGACACCCACCCATGCGCATCCACAGTACAGTAAAGAACTTGTGAGTAAGGATAGTATTTTTTTATTCCTCTCTAGCTACATATTTTTTGCTTGTTTGTAAAAATGGTTTTTTACAGTTAATTTAGGCTAATCAAACATAAATATTGGATTGTAGGACCAACAAAGATCTTTCGGGAAGCCAATGAGAGTATAATCCGCCTGAGGTCTCTGGACACATTATTTTCATCTTATCCTTTGCCGTAACTCCTCTAATAAGTCGCTTCATTTAAGCGAACCAATTTATAGTATGAGATATATAAGGGTCTACATTTGAGGGAGTTCTGTGTCTCCAAATATCAACATGTCTCCTCTGCAGAACATCAGGAATGAAACAGGAGCTGCTGAGATGGTAGTATACGAAGTAGAACGTTTTCTGTATTTATACCTGAGAAGTCCAACAACTTGATCTCTGATACTTAGGTTTGCTCTAGGGAAATTTCCAGTGAGGAAAAAGTGAGCAGGAAAACATATCCCTAGATTAAGTTCTAATGCTAAAAGTGTCTTTAAAGATATATATCAGAAAATTCCAAACAATTCTGAATTTCAGGATCCTGAAATTTCATAATCCTGATAAAGTTTGTTTATTTCTTATTTAATGTAGCCTAAATAAGGCAGGAATTATGAGGAATTAAGATAAAGGTAAGACAGGGCTGCTCCGGGAACATGATAATTTGACTAATGTCTCTTTGTCCTGTATTTCCTACTTTATAATCCCTTTCTTGAGGAACATGGATGCAGGGCCCATGGGCACCTGGGAGCATATAAGGCCTCAGATTATAACGAGTCAAAGTAGAGAGCATTAGTACAGAGCTTGCTTTCTCATGGAATGAGCAATTATCTGGTGGACAACATCAGAGACCTGGGCTAAGGAGCAGAAATGGTAGATCCTAAGAAGAGCTTAGCAGCTGTCAGAGATCTGGGAACTCTCTAGAGGAGGTCAAGAAACGCCCTCTGTGAGAGTGTCAGGATTCCCTAACTCTCCAAAAGCCTACGAGTAGCTGAATGGATGGGCTGACTGTTGGTGAAGCTTGAGAGACCACAAGATGATTTTTCCTTGGCCTAAGCAGGTGACTCGCAATCTGTTTATTTCTCCATTGCTGCTCTATAATGAGCAGAGACCATGTCAACTTGCATAACTTGTAGAACTGTCATCACTTAAGGTACCTCTACAGTCAGACTTGGCCCCAAAGAGCCAATGAAAAAAAGCAACAGTCACTTAAGGAATTCCAGCAGCCAGAAATGAGTCAACCGAAAACACACATACCCAACAAAATATTGCTACTGGAGGAGAATGACAACAACAAATAAATACTCAAGGAGATCCCAGGGTACACCCAAACATAAGACTTTCTAGATGTTAAAAAGAAAGAAGAGAAAGAAAAGTTTCCCAATGCAATAGACCCAAATTAGTATCCTGGAAGTCAAATACAATTAATATTTAAAGCACAGAGAAAAAAAAATATAAAGAAATCATGAAGGAAAGAAATTTGGAGTTTGGATCTATAGGATTTAACATGCAAATGATAAGAACCCCAGAAGGAGAAAAAGGAACAGATACCAAGGTATCGTTTACCAGCCCAGTTAAGGGAGGGATTTGTGAAGATACGCAAAGATTTTAAGAATGTCATCTTCACACCTTGCGTGAAGAATTTACCTTTCCAAAGACCATAATAACTAAACAGGTGAACTGGAATAGTTATCTACCTAGGGAACGATAGTAGTGAGCAGTAAAACTTGGAGTGTGTGTGTATATAGTTAAAATGGTATGGATAGACTGGAATATGTGTGCTAAAATGGAAGGTTTACACTAAAGGAAATTCTAATATTAGTTTAGAATTAAAACTGCTAAACATTGTAGTTTGTTGGGGGTTAATAGCAGGTATTATCACTTTAAAATAATAGAGAAATATGGATCTAAACTGAGTGCAGAGAAAGTGAAGATAACTATTAATGGAATGGAAAAATATGGTACATTTTCCAAGTTATTAATAGGATAAAAATAGAATGAGTAGCAACTTATCAAATCCTAGGCTTTCTAGTTTTTTTCTTTTATATGAACTCTTTCTATCAATGGAATTTTGGCACATGTTACTACTTTTTAAGAAATATATATTGGTGAGCTATTTTAGTTATAACTTCAATATCTGAGAGGAAAAGTGGTTTGCAATCTTATTAGGTTTTGTTAATTCAGTTTGTACCTTCGCTCCAGGTTTACTCATCAGGAATTCCTTAGAATAAGTGAAATAATATAGAGATATTGAGTAGTATGGCAGGATGAAAGCAAATATCTCTTTATAAATTATATTTTCATGGAAACTATTTTGTTTGAAATATTGTGCTGCATTGGACACTAGATTTACTTATATTCCAAAATGAAGCATTTATTGTGGGCCTGAGGTTAGACTTTTCTTAGTCTTTAATTTTTTTCTTTTATAAAAATAAAAGGCTCAGATTAAATGTCTAAGGTCATCTTTTAACTCTAAACTTGTAAATACAGATGCTGTTGGAAACAGATTGAAGCTTTTTTGTTAGGAAGTTTAATTTCCATGTCTACCTCTTGCTGACTGCTAGCAAAAGTCAGGTAACACAGTATATACTGAAGCATCAGTGACACTGCATAAAGCTAGGTGTGAAATATTTGTTATAATTGGCATAGCATTTTATAAGTAATATCCTGTATTTCCTACAGAGTCAACTACGGGATTTTCTGTCTGGTAGACAGTATGCAATAGATGATGAAGCCGATCTTTATGTACCGACATCACCAATGAGTCAACACAACCAGGATAACAAAAAGGTAATCATAAATTGTGAATAAATTAAAGCAGGATGTGATCCCCTTTGAACCTCTATGAATTTGATCACACATTACAGTTACTATTTTTTTAATTCAAAAAAACTTTTAATTTGTTTAAATAAAACTGTATTTGCAAAGAGCAATACGTTGGAGACTGGTGAGAGTTACTTCATGGTTTTAGGCCAATGTAACAGGCACTGTGCAAAAACAGGTATCACTCTCAGTATCAGAAAAGTAGTTGAAGGTCCAGATTGCCAGAGTTCTTTGGATCTTCGTCTAGTGTCCCTTGGTAACTACAGGATTGGTTCCAGCACCCACCTCAGATACCAAAATTCACAGATGCTTAAGTCCCTTATATTAAATGGTGTAGGTCATGTCTAGATTACCTGTAATCCCTAATACAATGTAAATGCTGTGTAAATAGTTGTTATACTGTATTGTTTAGGGAACAATAACAAGAAAAAAATGCATGCATATTCAGTACAGATGCAGTCATCATAGGCCTAACTACATAGCACACATCAGCAACAATGTAACTTTCTTTTGTTTTTGAATATTCTTATTTTTTTCTCCTGCTCCAAATCTTGACAAAACATATCTTTTCTCAGTACATCGAGGAGTACATTCATACATCAAGAGGGTAGATAGTTTACACATCTCTTTTTCGATCTGTCTTACAAGCTCTACAGGGTGGAAACAATAATTGTTATTGTGCCTTTTAATTAAGAGGAATGAACTAATTTGTACATGTAAAATGACCTAAGCTTTTAGAATTTTGACTTACAGATATAAAACATTATCTTAAAGGTATGCCCATGAAAAAAGATTAAGTAAATAGAAACCTATGGGTCTTTACTGTAAGTATATAGTTTCCTCATTTAAAAAGTGATAGTTTCATTGTGTTAATCCTCTACTTTTTATCTTTTGCCTTCTTGGATTGTATTCTCTAGGAAAATTTTAGCTACTAGTTAGCTGATGGATTAGATTTTATGAGGACTATTAAAGTAGCAGCCATCCTCTCAGCCATTTTTCTTTTACTTGCAGACTTCTAATTTTTCTTTTTACAAAGTATTTTTGGAAGGCAATATATTTCTTCTAAAATCCCAAAGTAACTTTTTGGGCCGCAGTTCTGCAAAGATATATTTTTATCACCAAATGTGCTTACTAATGCTATACCAGAGTCCTCAAGTATATGATCAAAATGAATTTGAGAAACAATATTTTTGTTTCCTTATTTTATTTTACTTCATTTTATTTTTCCTAAGGTACTAAACTGTTGCTTTAGAAATTCTGGAGTAATGAAGAAAAATAGAATAAAGGCCCCAAAAGAAAATCATCAGTTAATTAAAAAATTCTGCCAGTATATTCTAGTCCAGCTTTTTTTTTTTTTGTCATTAAATGTAATTATGTGTTGGCAAAGAAAGTAAAAAATACTTGTATAAATTGTTAATCTTAATTTAGAAAAACTGACTTCAAACTGAGATGAATATCTGCACTTCAGTAATAATTAAAGGATAGGAAAAGAAATTTGGAATTGTCAGAAAGCTTCAATAAAATTGTTCAACTTCTAAACAAACATTGCAAATACTCTGTGGTATGGATAGAATCAGTTTATTAAACAAATAAACAGAACAGTATCTTTATTTTTGGTATCTTGGTAAAAGCTTCAATCTTGTGGATTTTTTCAATTTAGGCCCTTGCTTCTGGACATCATAACTGTATTTATGTGGAATGCTTTGCCAGAGAGCCTCTTTAAAACCCACTTGCAAATACAAGAGCAGAGAAACCATAACTGCCATGTTATCTGACCATAATGATAGGAATAGATTTCCAATTGCAGCCATGGTTAAAAGAAACCCTCTAACTGTAAAGACTCCAAGATGTTTTTCCTTGATGTTTGCCGAGCATCAAAAGGACAAAATTTGCCAACCTTAAAGAGCAAAGGGTAGATGGGGGAGATTTAAGACCTGGTTTTGGACTCAGTAAGGATCAGATATGTACATACTGATAAATCCTCATTATTTCGAGATAGCAGAAGCACAATGAAACTAAATGTAGTTTTATGAAATTAACTGTAGAACAAGTAAAAATGTTTCTGATTACAGTGTGAATATCACTATTTCTCTACCTTGATTTTTTGGCAAATTGTGTTACTCTTCCTAAATATCAAAGGGTTAAAGAAGAGAGATGTTTCAGATTGTATTGCACTGTGAAGTTAAAATAGAAATCTTCATATTATAGATTCACGTGAAGTATTGTGATTTACTATAAAAGTAAAGATAAAAGGACATTTGAAATATAAGCAGAAAATTATGCTATACCTTAGTTTATAAAACTTTAGGACAGATCTTAAAGATGATTTTAAATTAGTTGTACCTTAGAGTACTTTTTAAGGTAATGTGATAAAAACATATGAGCACTTATTTGATCCCACATAAATTATCAATAGTTTCAATTTCAAAATATCTAAAAGGGCCAACCAATTTTGAAATATCTAAAAGGGCCAACCAATTTTGAAATATCTAAAAGAGCCAATCTATGCAGAGAATTATAATTGGCTGGTATGCAGATTTATAAAACAGGGTGATAAGAAAGGGAGCATGTGAATAGCTGGCCACTTTGTATTGGGGAATTAGGGAGCCACTCTGCAAAGATAATAAATGCTAGTATCTCTAATATTTTAGAAAAAAAGTTCCATTGAGTTAATGTTTAAAATTCTTTTAATCAATTTTGCTTAAATTATATTTTAAGCCTATATTTCAGGCAACATTTTCCTGTCCAATGAGGCTTTTTTTAATTGACCCATGTTTCAAGAATTGTTTTTCACATAAAATTTAAATAAATCAAAAGCACGTTATTTTTAAAAATACTTTTTAAGATGTGTATTAACTTGAGACTTCCTTAATAATTATCTATGAGACTTCCTAATGACTTGTAATTTTTTCTTGCTACCTTCTTAATTCACTTTATTAGCTTTATTTGACTGTGTACGAAAGAACTGATGCTCATATCAAGTTCTCTCAAATATTTATCTTGTGCGTGAACGATCTATAGCTCTGTTTTAGGCTAGTTACTGTCAACATCAACTATTTTCTTAGCATTTGATTGACTCTTCATTTTAATACTTAGTTGGTTATTTGGTATTGTCAAAGTCAGTATCTTAATAATTCTCCCCAAATTTAACTATTTAATTCTGCCCTTATACATATTCCTGTAAGGGACATAGGTATAGGACTAAATAGTGCCCATTGGCCCATGCCCTAGACTTCAAGGGGCTTTATTTAGTGGCATATGTATGCAGGGGAATGGGATTAGGCCTCATCAAAAATGGAGACTTTGGACTGTATCTTTAATATCATTTTCTAAGAACCAATATTTAATAATTATTAATAATTATGATAGTTGGTATTTACTCATAGCTTTTCATCGTGGCAAGTTGGTTTCATGAGCAAGGATATGTTAATTGTCCAACTCAAACTTTTGGTTTATTTGGCAATTCTTTTTCCTAAAGATCTGAGTGAGATATTGTTATTGAATGATTGTAAATATTTTTACTACATATAAAAAATTATGGATTTAGAACAACTTCAAAAAAGAAAATAACTATTTTATTGTACAGGTGAAGTTACTAGCAAAGAAAATTATTTGCTCATATTTAAACCTGCTAGTGAATTCAAAGAATGATTTGGCTCTGGCTCATATTCTCAATATTCCTGATAGAGGACTTGGAAGAGAAGCCTTCACTGATTTGAAACATGCTGCTCGAGAGAAACAGATGTCTATCTTTTTGGTATGAATATGTTACATTTTCAAGAATTTTCAAATAAAGACTCTTTGAACATTGGATCGTATACCTTACTGTAGAATTTTTATAACTTTAAATTGTTACTTAATGTTTTTGAAAATCCACAGGATTTTTATTTTTTACTATATCCTTCAAATTTGGTAAGGGAGAATTTCTCTAAAGCAGTTTTTTCCTACATGTATGCTATAAAATGCTAGCCAAAGGCAAAAAGCCCTTTTTAAACACTTCTTGAATAAATGTTTCCAAAGGCAAAATGTTTGGAAACAGTATATACCCTTATTGGATATACATAAATTCATGTTTGTATATCATAAGCTCCGAGAAGTCCTGCCATGAAGAAATCTTAAGTTAACCTTGTTATTTAATCTATTGTTTCCGAAGTTATTTGACTATGAAAGTTTTCCTCAAATTATTGAAATTTCATAGAATTTGTCTTTCTTAAGATGTGTTTTGGAAAATACCGCTTTAGAATATTTCATTTTTGATGGAGATGCTTTTAATATATAGCCATTATATATGTATTTTTATCATTGTAAAGGTAAGGCGTTTTGAATTGCAAGTGATCAAATAATCTGAGGTTGTAAAACTAGATGAGACTTAGTCTTTATCTGGGCTAAATTTTTATTTTACAAATAAGGAAGCTACTGTTTGGAAAAGTTTAATTAATTGCCCAACCTTGACTAAATCGACACAGTTGACACTGAAAACCCCTTTGTTCCATGTAATAATTTCAGTAGCCAGTAGTCAATCTATATAAGAATATGTTTATAAATTAATTCTTTATAGTCAATGATATACTTTTATGAACATATCGTGCCCTTAATTTGTCTCCTAACTCAGCTTCTGGGTGTCTATCTGTGTTGCCATCATCCTTGCTGGCATGAATTCTGCATGGCACCTGTTTCTTTGATTATTTGCTTCTGAATCAGAATATGACATATGTCATAAAAGTGCTTCACTTGTATACCCAGAATTATATAAATGCATGTAACAATAAAGTAAATTATAGTTTTAATTTACTAAATTATTAATCATAACTAAATCATCTGTTTTAATCCATAGGTGGCCACATCATTTATTAGAACAATAGAGCTTGGAGGTAAAGGATATGCACCGTCACTATCTGATCCTTTAAGGACACATGTAAAAGGATTGTCTAATTTTATTAATTTCATTGACAAATTAGATGAGATTCTTGGAGAAATATCAAATCCAAGGTAATGGCTTTTCATAATTTACAAATGTGTGTAATTAATCTATCTTTAAAACTTCACAGAATTCGAGGTAGGAATATAAGAGCTATTGAAATGACCAGTCATCAACCAAACAGTAGGGAGAAGAAAGAAAATATATAGATGAATAAAATATAATCATGTGACTAATCCCCCTAAATTTCTGCCTCTCTGTGATTGCAAAATTTTTGCTAAAGTCAAAAGACATGTTCGAATTAAATTTGTTTAGAGAAGAAGGTTTACCATTTACCTTTATCTGGAAGAAACAGTTTTTTAAAGACTGAAATGACCTAATAGGTAATTCCTTTAAACTTTTTATTTGGCAATAAAGGAAATGCATATCAAAAGTAAGTAAGGTAATTGATAAAGATCTTATGAATTCTCTGTTCTATTTTTTGCTAGTTTTTTTTCCTCATTTTATTACGCATGAATCTTTGATTCATCTGGAATTTGTATTCATATGATTTTGGAAGTAAGATTTTTTTTAAATCTGATAATTATAATATAGGTATATTGGATTGTGAGTGATTATTAGATTAATTTAGGAGGTCGAAGTAGGTTCTGTATTCTAGCAATTGTGGTAGATCACTATCAATTTGGTTGGTGTGCCATTGCATAGTACTAATAAAATAACTGGAATTTATTGAACACTTATTATGTGTCAAACGCTGCACTACGGTCTGTATGGGGATTATCATTTATCACAACAACCTTACTATATAGGTACCCAATTTAGAGAGGAAGTCACTGAAGCACTGGGATTAAGTAATTTACCCTTGTCTCACTGTTAGTAAGTAGCAGAGCTGGGATCTGAACTCAGCCAGTTCTGACCCTGGAACCCATTCTCTTAATTACTACATCTTATTACATGAAACTTCTTTCCATCTCGAGATTCCAAGAAGAATTTTTTTCAGGATTTTATTCTGAATTGTATCCTTCTGTCTTTTTATATGGATATCCATTACAAGGAAGTAAATTTGGAAGAAGGTTTTGAATATGACTTGTAGTCAGTATCAGTGACATCTTATGAACTCCTAGGTAATACAATGGCTGGCCATTTTTTCTGAGATAATTAATTTTTAAAAAGTTTTTTTTTAGCAAAGTGATACATGTATATTTCGTTAGTCAATAGACACAGACACATACTTTTCTTCCTTTATCCTTCTAATACAGTTATATGATAATTTCAGGTTAAATCATTAGGTTATATTATTGTGACTCTACAAATATTGCGTCTAGCTAAGCTATATGATATATTGTGATAATACTTTTTTTGTATAAATTTTTGCTTTTTTCTAGAGTTATAATTATCTACTTTTTTCTTTATATATTTTTATCATCACTTCTTTATCAAGCTTGTCAACAAATCTATATAATTTCCTCTTAAAATTAGGTCATTTATCCATTCTGATTTTTGCCCTTGAAGACATTCTTTTTGGAGAGTCCTCTGTCTTCATTCAATCTGTACTTTTGCTCACTAGGCCTGTTTCAGAGTGGCAACAATGAAGCTTCATCATCACCTTATGAATTTTCGTTGCCTGTGCCTTGTATTCTGGATCTCATGACTTTATTTTTGATTGGTGTACCCCTTATTTTTCTCATGTAGCTTTCTGAGAAAAAGTAAATGGGAGACAAATATCTTCATTTTACTTTCATGTTTAATTAGGTGATCCTACCATGTTTTATTTATTTAAGATTATTATCTTTAATCTTTAAGATTATCTACTTCTTCATGATCTTTGTTCTATCTAAATTGAGTGTTTTTGTTTGTTTTGGTCTCTTTCATGTTAGAGATATTCCTAAAATGTATGGTAATTCTGGATTGTCCTTTCATATTTAAGAACAAGGCCCTATAAAGGTGATTAGCAGCTCTGCACACTGGACTTCATTATAGTTTGGTAGTCAGTGGCTCTTTGGTTGAGGATTCTCCAAATATCAGTAACTGTAGGTCTATTCGAGGAGACTTTCCCAAAAATGTCTACAGAGGAGATATCCTTTAGTCTCTCTCTGAAAGCTGTTAGTCTGGCTAGCAATATTCTAGGATTTGAGGTAGTGTAGGTTGATACTGAGTCTCCTAGTTCAACATGTAGCCTTTTACTCAAAACCTCTGTTTTCAGTCCTTGGTGCTTCTAGGTCTGGAGCTTCTCTGGCTTAGTTTCTTCAGAGTGAACCTACTTTCCATGCTGAGGTGAGAGAAGTGTGCTAGCTTGACTTGTCAGAAGAAGAAAGGATGGTTAGGGGTCTAAGCGTTCATCTTTTAGATTTCCAACCAGCTTTCATATTTGCAACCACACTTTTACCATAGTCTTTAATATTTTCTTTAATATCTGAGAATATCATAGGTTGTTTTTTACTGGTGTCTCTTTTAGCAGTTACTTAGTTTTAAGCTTTCTCTGTTCTGGGTAGTCAGTCACCACTTGTCCATCTACTTTTCATCTTTCCATACTTTCATAGTATTGTCTCTGCTATCATTGGATATTGTCTTCTCTCCCATTCTCTCTTTTTTAATGGATCTAAAAAACTTTCACCTTTTTGTCACTTTCGTGGGATTTTGGGGAGGGAGCAGATATAAATGCATATGTTCAATTGAATGTGATTTGTTAAAATTACATTCCCTTTGGAGGAATTTCTGGTTGGGGTAAGTTATCAACAAAGTAGAAGTATATTGGTACATGTACATTTGTGCAGCAGGGTAGAAGTAATTTTAGAGGCATCTAAGGTGAGAGAATAGACTTAAGATCTTTATATAAATTCTTAAATTCTTCAGTAAGTTATCAGCCAGTTATTTTGGATATTCTGTCTAGTTATAATGAGTAATTACTCTGAGTTCTAGGGAAGACACTGAAGAAGTGGGTGTCAAAGTAATGGGTATATTCAGACGAGTATCTGGATAGTCGATTTGAGAAATCTTTATTTTCTTTTTTAGGATGATTTTTTGTATATATTAAGTATATATTCATATCATAACTTTAAAAAGTAAAGTTATTAAAACTTGAAAACATATCCTTCCTATGCACCACTAGAAGGATATACAGAGGAAAGCACAGTTGACCTAGTTTTTGAGAGTCAGGGATAAGAATGTCAGGAATGCTTACCTGGAGGGTTGTTGCAGTTGAGCTTAATCTTGAAGGATGAACTTGAAGTAATTAGCCAGAGAAGGAGAATGGGGGTGAAATGAAGCCCAGATGGGGAGAAGGAAGGATATTTCCTACAGTGAGCACAATATATGTAACCTATTGGGACATTGTTTCATCAGTTATTCATTTTGTCTTATAGTTTCAACTTCCTCTTCTACTAGTACTTTAGCCACACGATTTATAAAGATTTTAAGAAAAAAACAAACTGTCTTCTCATACCATCATCTTTTTCAGTTCCCTCTCCTTTTATAGCTCAAATTCTTGAAAAAAAAATATTGTTTTTATTCCACTTCCCAATTTCTAATTATTTGTTATATATTTCTCACTAGACTGTAAACTCTACGAGGGCTTTTTTGGTTTTCTTCACAAATATTCCCTGGTCCTAGCACAGTTTCTGGCGCAGAGTTGACACTCAATATTTATTAACTTGTCTGTACTTAGCTGATTCACACTCATTCATTTTTCTACTCTATTGAAGCTATTCTGCCAAAGATCACTTATGATCTTTGAGTTGTAGTCTTTGGTCTCTTTTGAGTCTTCAAATTTGATCATTTTCTCTCTTAGAACTCTTTTTCTCCATAACTTATGACATTTCATTCTCTTATTTTCCACCCAGCTTTCTGACTATATATATTCAAATTCTAAATCTATATTTCAGTGAAATTCAAATCTCTTTCCTGAATTACAGAAATATTTCTTTGACTACCGATGTGTTGTTACCTCAAAGGCAACTCAAACTTAACACGTCCCAAATGAAATCTTCCATCTTTCCCTGAAAACCTGCTTTTCCCCTATAAGTACTCAGCTTGATAAAGTCTCTCTCCCTCCAGTCACCCAAGCAGAAACCTGGAACAGGTCTTAAACTTTTTTTTTCTCTTTTCTCTATCCCTTCAGTCACCAAGGTCCATCCACCAACATTTTTGACATTCTTTCTCATCTCTATTCCTTTAACTACTGTCTTATTTCCATTCTTTATACTGCCTCTTTTCAGACTGACTTCCATCTTTTCTTGTCTGGATTTTTTCACTTATTTCTGACTTGTTCATTCTGCCTCCAGTCTTGAGTTGCCCCATCCTATTGTCCTGAGCGCTGCCAAAGATCTTTCTAAAACAACAAATTTTACTTCCATGATTAAAACCCTTCAAAGAGTCCATATCAGGTACAGGATAAAATTAGTATGATATGCTGATTCTGTACTCTAAATCCTGGCTGTATTTTTCCCTTTGGTCTCTGTCTCGTCATCTTAAAACTTAAAGATAAAAATGTATTTAATTTTTGTAACTGAGGATAAGTTTGTACTACTTGTCTTGTAATAGGGTGATGGTAAGGAATCACAATTATCTATGAGTCCAAAGAAAGATGAGGAATAGACAGAGGGAAGAAATCAAAGTATCTATTCTCATATCTTTCCATGGCCAAATTTTCATTGGGCCATCTTAGCTATAGTTTGGCTGCATTTCTACCCTTTGCCAGTAGGTGCCACCATAAAATGCATACAATATTTTACCTGAAAAATGTTTTAAATTAGAGGTTTCAGGTTACATAAATTAGTTCTCTTATTTTCAAATATTTAAGATTCTGTATTTCAAGTTTATTACACAGCAACTTTTTAATTCACACCTGCAGTATATATTGGACTAAATATTATACATTTATAAAATATTAAATCTGATTAAAAATATCCACTCCAAAATCCTAATGTTACATTTCTCTCATTTAAAAATACTTTAGAAGCATTTTGATACATTTTATGTAGGATCTTTAATCACATTTAGTTATTAGAGATATAATTCATTTTAGCAAATAGTTATCAAATTCATGAAGATGGTGAGGAAAAGCCAATCACTCTATATAGTAAAAGTAGTTGGTAATTATATTAAAGTAGTAACAATCATTTCTGCATTATTGCTTATTGTTCTCTTTCAGTCACTATGTTTTGATACAAGCTTAGGAATTTAATTTTGTTTTTGCTCACTAGCCTCATTTTTCTTTTTCTGCTCTAGGGCTCTAATGTGATGCATTTCGTAGTCAGGAGCTACAGTTTGCCTTTCTCACCTAAATTCTTCTATTAATGTTTATCCAGAATAGTCTAGGGATCGTTCCTGAATACCTCCTTCTTCCCTTACTGCCACACTCAAATCCCTCCATACCTTCAGTATCTCAGTGTATCATGATCAATTGTGACCTCTTAAAGAGAGAGTTTTTTTCGATTTTTTTTATTACCAGTGCCTAGCACAAATATCCTGATGTCATTTGAGTTAAAACTTCAGGAGTTTCTAGGCTTTAGAAGCAAGTGTTTGAATTAAGCCATTATGTTGCTGAGCAGATATTTGAAGAGTTAATGGTTGGCTAGTATGTAGTGAATGTATAGCAACAGACCAGTCATAACAGTAGTGCTTGGGGTATTTTGCCAGGTCAAAATATTGACCTTGACAAGTATCTAAAATACAAATCTTATAAATTTTTTTTCTAAATAAAATATAAGCAGTGAATTATATCATCTTTAAAATTTAGCATATTTGTTCCTGTGGAAGGAATGAGAATAGGGAGGCAAAGGTGACTTCAACCTAATATCATTTAGTGCTTCTTTTTTTTTTTTGATTCTTGTAATTGCCTAAGACATTCTTTCATATTTTATTATCCTTTTGACTCTTTTCCAAAACTCTTTTCCATTAGAGATTAATTACCAGAAAAAGCACATAATGTTAATTGTGTTTTCACTTTGGCTACATTTCATTCAATTATTTTCTGTGCTTTTAATTGAAAATTAAGAAAAACTTAGTTGAAAAAGAAAGTTCCTGTATATGTAAAAAAATTCTTTGAGTTTCTTAAGGGTTCTGACTATGGATGTGTGGCAGACCAGGTCTGCCGATTGACCTTTCCATTGACAATAATTAATGCTGGATAACATACTTTAAAAATGCTTCTTAATGCATTGATGAACAGTAAAATGTAATGACAATACAGGCCAAAAACTAGGGGAAGGAAGAAAGCCAGAGAGGGAAGTCAAGAAGGGAAGCCAGCTTTTATTTTGAGAGTATTTGCTGAATTTGTTGATTTGGAGAGTCTGTTCTTACAGCCACCAAAGTCTGAGGGGACAAGACAAAACCCAAGGACTTCCCAAGGTCAGGAGTCTATTAGTACATACTCACCCTACAGAGCTAACCCCTTAGTGTAAAATGAACTAAGATAAGGCCATTAACCTGATAAAGGGTCTCTAAGAAAACCTACTTAATGGTAAAATGTTTTAGCATTCTATTTAGGGTTTGAAAAAGACAAGAGTTCCTGCTTCTAATCGTTTCTTTTCAATGTAATAGTAGATGTCCAGTTCACTGTAGTAAGGCAAGAAGGAGAAATTGAAAAGGAAGTACAACTCTAATTGATGATGATATGATTATATAGGTGCAAAACTCCAAGAATCTAAAGATCAGTTATTCAAATTAATAGAGTTTATCAGTGTTTGTTGGGCACAAGGTCAGTAAACAAAAAGCAATTGTATTTCTATACCATCACCGATAGCAAATGTTAAAAAAAAAAAGCTTCAAAAATATAAAGTACGCAAAAAAATCTAATAAAAGCTGTAAAGC